CAATGCCGACTTATTTCACACAATCTTGAAATTTAATCATCCTCCTAACTAGGGCCGGCAAAACGGGCTCAGCTCAGCGGGCCGAATTTTTCAGCCCACTCTCGAAATTGAGGTAGGGCAGGCTATCTCATTTTTTGGCGGGTTGATGGCGGGGCGGGGGTCATTGTAAAACAGGTTCGAGGTGGCAGGCTAACCTTCCCGCCAAACGGGTTATCCGAAAGCGTCATATCTAATAATACATTTCTTGCAAAATTTTGAATGAGATTTTTTCCTTCATCATGTAAGAAGTTTGTGGAGCTTTTGGATATCTTGATGAGTCATTCAAAGGTAAACTAATCATATCCTAAATGGTTGCTTGTCTCTAACTGTCCTATCTGGAAGCTTACATATTCCTTTTTGGTTATGGAAAGATGCAAATTCATCCAAGCGAGATACATAGGTGATCCTTTTGCAAGATATGTTTGAAGTGTTTATACCTTTATATGAATCATATCAATACTTTCCCCAAAAATTTTATTCAATTAAGCCGAATTTTCCCAAGAATTTACAAAAGTCGAAAGATTTAACCATTTCATTGAGACTTCGATTCTGCTAAAAATATTTTTCCACCATTGAAAAATATCCTCAGGTTTCACCTTATGCTCCCATTCATTAGTAAGCATAGGAGGCAAAGTTGAATATTATTGAAATAACCTTTTTTAAGAGTGATACATAGAAAACAGGGTGCACATAACAGTTAGTAGATAACTCCAACTTATAAACAACCAACCCAACTTTGGAAAGAATCTTATATGGCCCATAGAAGTAAGGACTAAGTTTCTTCTTCATCTTTCTTGCTAGTGTGCGAAGTCTATAAGGCTGAAGTTTTAAATAAATTCTGTCTCCTACAGTAAATTCCACATCTCTCTGACTTTGAGCCAAAGTCAGGTTATGGTTCAACTCTTGAATTATTGAGTCTCAGACTTAAAGCATTTTTTTGTTATAGTCTTAAAAGCATTTTTGAAACTTCATCAATAGGTAAAATAGTAAAACTGGTTCAAATCAATACATGAGGGTCATAACTATTACCACACACTGATGAAAATGATAGTGCAGTAACACAAAGCTCCCAAAGTTTACACACGTGATATCTTGATCAGCTGTAACTAATTCACTTATGTTAGTAATTAGTTATAGCTTTTCAAGTATTAGTTAAACTGTATATATAATTATAATGTAGAATAGTAAAGACAAGTTGTAATCTTTTCTTTTCGTTTCCTGATGAATGAGATTTTTTTTCTCAAGATGAGAATACCAGAAAATCAACATGGTATCAGAGCTAATTAGCTCCAGTTTTCATTTCTTAATCTTTTTCCATTCCGCTGCATTACTCTTTTTTTTCTTTTACCATTCTTTTCGTCTTCTGTAAATGGAGAATCAGAATCTTGCTGCAGATTCTCTCTCCAATCCGGCGAATCCGTATTTTCTTCAACCCAGTGAAAATTCAGCTTTGGTGCTTATTCCTTCACCATTAACTGGAAATAATTATAACACATGGGCCAGAGGAATGTCCATGGCTTTACGTTCGAAAAATAAATATGGGTTTGTAGATGGAAGCATAACAACCCCACTTGAAAATGATCCTCTATTTTCAGTGTGGAACAGATGCAATACGATGGTTTTGACATGGTTTCATCGATCTGTGTCAGAGGTAATTGCCCAATCAATTCTTTGGTTAGATAAAGCCTCTAACGTATGGGAAAACTTGCGGAAAAGATATTTTCAATCTGATGTATTTCGAATTTCAGATTTGCAAGAAGACATATACCGTCTTCAACAAGGCAAAAATCTGTTACAGATTTCTTCACACAGATAAAAACAATGTGGGATGAGCTTGAAAGTTTGAAGCCTCTCCCATCATGTGCATGTGGAGCTATAACACAAGTGAAAGCAGATCGTGAATGTGATTTAGTCATACATTTTTTTAAAAGGATTAAATGATCAATATACAGGGGTCCGTTCCAATATTATGATGCTTGAACCATTTCCTGATATAGATAAAGCTTTCTCTTTAGTTGTGCAGCAAGAATGTCATTTCAATTCAGGAATTACCTTTGAAGGTATTTCTGAGTCAAGAGCTTTCAACAACTCTTCCAATCAATCTAGTTATCAAAGTTCCTTCAACAATAAGGGACAGGGACATTTCAATACAGGTAGAGGCACAATAAGAGGAATCACACGACCTCAGAAGATATGCACCCATTGTGGTAAGAGAAATCACACAATTGAAACTTGTTACCAGTTATATGGCTTCCCACCTGGATACCAGAACAAAGGGCAAGCCAACCATATCTCTCATGAGTCAGTCTATAACTTTAATGATGAAGTTAAAGCAAATGACAATGGGCAACACCATGATGAACCACAACAAATTGATCTTTCATTGATCCAAGTACCAGGAGATTCTTGGCATGCTCCAACAGAATGTTAAAGGCACAAATGACTTGACTATGTCTTCCACCAATTTCGCTCAAGCCTCTGTTGCAAATATAGAGTCATCTTTGAGCAAGAATTCTAACAATTCTGTAAATATCATAGGTAATATTTTTCATCAATGGATCTTAGATACTGGTGCTACTGATCACATCAGTTCTAAGCGTTCATATTTTCAGAAGTTGTCTAAAATTCATCCTATTTCAATTTCTTTACCCAATGGATCATGTGATGTGCTCACTATTTGGGTACCATTTTTCTTTCTTCCCAACTTATACTTAAAGAAGCACTCTTTGTCCCATAATTCAAGGTCAATTTAATATCAGTTACAAAGTTAGTTAACACAATTCATTGTTCATTAACTTGTACTGATTCTTCCTGTTTAATTCATCAGAATACTACCAAGATGAGGATTGGTACAACTAAGCAATGTGGTGGACTTTTCATCCTGGAAATACCAAAAGTTCAAGCCTTTGTTTACAGTTCTGAAAGCCAACCCAATACTAAAGAATCTGATAATGCAATGTTATGGCACCTTCGTCTTGGTCACATTTTCTATTCTACTTTAACACATGTATCTTCTTGTTTTCCTTTTATTCTTTTTAAACATGTATCTCCTTGTGTCACTTGCCATTTTGCAAAGCAAATGAGACTGCCTTACCTTTCAAGTGAAAATAAAACTACTGCAATTTTTCAGATTTTGCATGCAGATATTTGGGGTCCTTACTCCACAATTTCTATACATGGACATCGTTACTTCTTAACTCTTGTTGATGACAAATCTCGGTTTACTTGGGTTATCCTTATGAAACCAGAAAACATATACAAAACTTTGTTGCCTCTATAGAAAATCATTTTCATACCACCCTTAAAATCATTAGATCAGATAATGGAGTTGAATTCATGATGGAGGAATTTTATTCAAAGAAAAGCATCTCCCATCAAAGAACATGTATAAAAACCCCTCAAAAAAATGGGTAGTAGAGAGAAAACACCAACATATTCTAAATGTGGCCAGTGCCATCCTTTTCCAATCCAGCTTACCAATCCATCTATGGTCGTATGCCATCACTCATGCTACTTACATCATTAACAGATTGCCAACACCACTCTTGCATAACAAAACACCATTCGATGTCCTTTTTGCCAAACCACCTCTGCTTACTAATCTAAAGGCTTTTGGATGTCTATGCTATGCTTCAACTATTACTGCTCACAAAACATAATTTCAACCAAGAACTAGAAAATCTATCTTTCTAGGCTACAGAGAAGGTACCAAAGGATACATATTATATGATTTAAAATCCAGAGAAATCCTTTTATCCAGAAATATTTTCTTTTATGAATTCATTTTTCCTTTTACCACTAAACAACAACAACAGTCTCACCAGCCTAATCCTCAACCACATTATGAAACCATGACCACCTTTGATGACATTTTTTTTTAACAATACACAATTTCATGACCCTGCCAACCCAACCCCACATGATCCTACATCTTATGATCTTACCATCCCTGATCCTCCCATTAATTCAACAGAAAATAATCCTCCCAGACGTTCAACCAGAACCAGAAAACCACCTACCCATCTTCAAGATTTCCACTGTGAACATCCACCACTTGCTGTTGTGGCTAATGCTCAATCAGGTAACTCCAAAGCTCCCTTATATCCTCTTTCATCAGTCTTGCATTATAATTCTTGTTCCTCTCGTTACACTTATTTTTGTTCCAATTTTTCTTCTAATGTGGAACCTAAGACATACAGTCAAGCCGCCAAATATGAACACTGGCATAAAGCTATGCAAACAGAATTACAGGCCCTGGAATTGAACAATACATGGAAGATTATTGACTTTCCGCATGGAAAGAAAACCATAGGACATAAATGGGTTTATAAAATAAAATATAATGCAGATGGAACAGTTGAAAGATACAAAGCCAGGCTTGTTGTCAAAGGCTACACACAACTAGAAGGCATTGATTATTTTGATACATTCAGTCCAGTAGCAAAGCTCACTACAATTCGGGTTCTCCTCTCCATAACAGCTAGCAATAATTGATTTTTAGAACAACTTGATGTCAACAATACCTTCCTCCATGGTGATTTAAATGAAGAAGTCTTCATGGATATTCCTCTTGGTCTCTCTTGTTCGAAGCCCAAACAAGTCTGCCATATACAAAAATCCCTTTTATGGATTGAAGCAGATCTTCAACTCTGGTTTCTATTGGCTATCAGCAATCCAATGCTGATCATTCCTTGTTCATACGACACAATTCTTCCTCCTTCACAGCTCTCCTTGTGTATATAGATGACATTATGTTAGCTGGAAATGATTTGGGAGAAATCCAGCGTGTCAAATTATTTTTGGATCAGCAGTTCAAATTAAAGGATCTTGGATCCTTGCGTTTTTTCCTTATTCTTGAGATATCTAGATCTCGAGAAGGCATCATATTGAACCAAAGAAAATATTCATTAGAAATCTTGTGAGATACCGGTATGCTTGCTTGTAAACCAGCTTCTACCCCCATGGATACAACCTTAAAACTGAGTTGTGATACTGGTATCTCACTTCCTGATGAAGCTTCATATCATCGCTTAGTTTGGAGACTTCTATACTTAACAACAACCAGACCTGATCTCACCTTGTCAGTGCAGCAACTCAGCCAATTTATCTCCAAACTAACTGATGTCCACATGGCTGCTGCTCAACGTGTTTTGCGTTACATAAAAGGGTCACTTGGTGCTGGTTTATTTTTCTCATTTTCCTCTAGTCTATCTTTGTCCAGTTTTGCTGACTCTAATTGGGCATGCTTCTCAGACACACGCAGATCTGTCAGTGGTTACTGTGTTTTTCTAGGAAGCTCTCTTATCTCCTGGAAATCGAAGAAGCAAACAACGGTCTCAAGATCATCTTCTGAGTTGAGTATAGGGTTCTTGCTAGCCTCTCCTATGAGATATAGTGGCTACACTATCTATTATCCGATCTTGGTGTTCCCATGACCAAGGCTGCTGCCATACACTGTGATAACATTTCTGCCATCTATCTTGCTCATAATCCGTCATTTCATGAGAGCACAAAGCATGTTGAAATTGACTGTCATGTTATGCGTGAGAAGATTCAATCTGGCCTCATTCACTTGCTTCCAGTCTCATCCTCCAACCAATTGGCAGATGTGTATACTAAACCACTACCCACCAAGTCATTTTCCTCCTTTCTGTCCAAGCTTGGTCTCAGAGACATTCATTGACTAGCTTGTGGAGGGGGATGGTATTACCACAATGATAGTGCAGTAACTCAAAGCTCCCAAAGTTTACACACGTGATATCTTGATCAGCTGTAACTAATACATTTATGTTAGTTATTAGTTATAGCTTTTCAAGTATTAGTTAAACTGTATATATAGTTAGAATGTAGAATAGTAAAGACAAGTTGTAATCTTTTCTTTTTATTTCCTGATGAATGAGATTGCTTTTCTCATGATGATAATACTAGAAAATCAACAATAACATTACAATGCTTTGAAGGGAATGGTGCTTGTTGAGCTCTTATATGATGTATTATACCAAACTTAGCCCAATGCAACCAAGACGGTCAACCATCTTCATATTTTTGAGTTTGGTTGGCCTGCGGTTACCACAACCCAATCCAATGTATGGAAGGGCATTATGGGGTAGGAATTAAAAAGGTCCTACTATTCATGAGATTTAAAAATGACAAATCTTGATATGAGACTATAGAAATTGTCTCGGCAGGATACCTCTAATATTAATACATGATTGCACTCGAATATGGCATTGTTGTTACAAGAAGCATTGAAAGGACAACAACTTCAGAAATCAACATACCTTTAGCTACTGAGCAACGATGGACATATCTTCACTAGGAACGTGTTTCACAACTTTTTTTTTTTAAACTAAAAGCTACTTTCAAGTTAAAGTTTAAAAAAAGAGCTTAAAAAACAAAGTTAAAAGCTATTCGATGATTATATAAAGTTGTTCTGATGGATTTAAAAGAGGGAAGATAAAATAATTTATTATTAGAATGAATTACTACGGTAAAGGATAAAATTTATAAATACATATCTAAAATAAAGGTAAAACTATAAAATAAATAAGGAGTCAAAAAAGATGATGTACATCTTAGAAAAAAGCCCTTTTAGGAGCTTTTAGCTTTTTTCTTCATTTAATTTTTTTTATAATAAAAGCTTTTATAAAAATATATTTGACAAAGCTTTTGCTTTTAAGGAAAATAAAAATTAAAAATAAGACATGTTAAATAGACACTTAAGACTGGATGGTGGTGTAACTTGTTCACCACTAAACATGCAAAGGATTTTGAATCGAATCTACACTTTTTGGATGTTCAAGTTACAGTTTATTATTTTTCTTTGGCTATTTACTTGCAAAAATTTAGAAACTAAATGTTATTTTGAATTGAAATTACATTTTTGGCACGACATGGCAGTAAAAAGTGGCTCGTATTAAAAAAAAAGATATCATAATGCCGTTGATTTTACATAGACGATTTTGTTCATTCTTTTTTTTTTTTTCCAGCTTCATTAAAGTTTGATTTGTATGACTGGATTAATAGATTTGTCCACTTACCTACTTTTATTACGAATTCATCACAATAAAAAGTACACTTTCAAAAACGTTAAATATTATATTCATAAATTGTAAAAAAGATGTAGATAATTATTCTCCGGTCTTCCAATTAGGGTGTGCATGACAATCATTCTGTTTCCTGTTAATGTTTCTAAAAAAATAATTCTTTTCTATTTTTGTGCCTTGTAACAGTTTTTGAGAAAAAAAATGTGTTCGATAACGTGTTCTATTTTTATTCCAAAAATGAGAATTGTGTTTGATAACATAACAAATAATATAATAAAAAATAATTCTTATTAGGAAAAAAATAAATAAATCAAATCATCATTTTCCTATTCATATGGGGTGTGCATGACAACCATTCTATTCTCTAGCACTGTTTCTGAAAAAAAAATTATATTCTATTTCTGTGCCTTGGAACAGTTTCTGAGAAAAACAATGTGTTTGATAACATGTTCTATTTTTATTCCTAGAATTAGAATTGTGTTTGATAACATAAAAAATAAAATAATAAAAAATAATTCCTATTAAATATAAAAAAATTCGGATCATCACTTTCCTTTCCATATGGAATGGTTGTGGTGGTGGTGGCGGCGGCGATGGGTGGCATGATGGTGGTGGCGGCGACAGTACGGTAATGGTGGTGGCAGTGACATGGTGATGATAGTGGTGGTGATTGTGATGGCAGTGGCTGCGGCGATGGCGGTGGTAATGGTGGCAGCGACGTGGTAGTGGTGGGGATGGTGGTGGTGGAGGTGACGGCAGTGGCTACAGCAATGGTGGGAGGATGGTGGTGGTGGAGGTGACGGCAGTGGCTACAGCAATGGTGGGGGATGGTGGTGGTGCAGGTGACGACAGTGGCTACAACAATGGTAGGGGGATGGTGGCGTTGATGGCGGCGACAATGGTAGCGGTGGCATGACGGTGGTGGTTGTGAAGGCATCATGGTGGTGGTGGTAGTGGCTGCAGCAGTGGCGGTGGTGGTAGGTGACAATGATGATGGTGGTGGTAGCGGTAACATGATGATGGTGGTGGTGGCGGTAACATGATGATGGTAGTGGCAAGGGTGGTGTAATGGTGGCGATGGTAGTGGTAGTGACGGTAGTGGATGTGACAATGGTGGTGGTTGGTGGTGGCGACGACAGTGGTTGCAGCAATGGTAATGGTAGTTGGTGACAATGGTGGTGATGGCAGTGGTGGCCGTGGTGGTGATGGTGGTGGTGGCAGTGGCGTGGTGATGGTGATGCTGGCGCTGGCGATGACAGCAGTGCTTGCGATGATGATAGTGGTGGTGGTGATGGTGACATTGCTAGTGGTGGTGGTGGTGGCAGCGGTGGTAGTTGTGATTGTGGTGGTGGTGACGGTTGCGTGGTGGTAGTGATGAGTGGAGGTGGTGGTGATGGTTGCGGTGGTATCGTGGTGGTGGGGGTGGTGACGACGACACTAGTGGTACGACAACGGCGGCGACGATGGTTGCGGTGGTCGAGTCGAGATGGTGGTGGTGATGGTGATGATGATGGTAGAGATGAAGAGTGATTGGGAGGGATAAATGTTTCTCATTTTGTGCCCGGGAACTAAAAAACAGAAATTTTTTGATTCTTTTTTTTGTTCCCCAGCACAAAAATTAAACCGGTTCATCCCGAAAACAAAAAAAATAAACCGATTTTACCAAACGAGCTTTTTATCCATTTCTGTTCCCGTGAACAAAAATTAAAAAAGAATTGATTCCGGGAAGGTTGTCATGCACACCCATGGTGTGGTGGTGGTGGCGGTGGCGTGGTGATGGCATGGTGGTGGTGGTGGCAGTGATGGTGGTGATGACAATGGTTGCGGCGATGGTGGTAATGGTTGGTGGCAGTGGCATGATGATAATAGTAGTGGTGGTGGAGACGATAATGGCTGTAGCGACGGTAGTGATGGTGGCGGTAGTGGTGGCAGTGGTGTGGTGATGATAGTGGTAATGGCGTGATGGTAGCATAGTGGTGGTAGTGGTGGAAATGATAATGGTGGCGATGGCGGTGATGGTGACCGTAGTGGCTGCGGCGATGACGATGATGGTTGGTGGTAGTGGTAGAGGTAGTGATGGTTGGTGACTGTGGTGGTGGTGGTAGAAAGTGATTGAGAGAGACATGTGTTTCTCATTTTGTGCCCGAGAACTAAAAAAAATAAAAATAAAAATACTTTCTTTTATGTTCTCCAGCACAAAAATTAAACCGGTTCATCCGGGAACAAAAAAAAAATCAATTTTATCAAACGAATTTTCTATCCATTTCTGTTTCTGAAAATAAAAATTAAAAAAAATTAATTCCGAAAAAAATATCATGCACACCCGTAAAACCCTTAGCCGAGAATGATAAACTACCGATACTGCGATGGTTTAAGTAGTTGTAACTACATGTTTATAGTTTACCTAAAAAAAAAAGAACTTGTTATAAAAAAAAAAAAACTACACACGTTTATAGTTGTGTACATGAATATTTGGTTTTTCAAATATTAACATACAAACATTTGGAGATCGATAAATATTTGTGTTCATAGTTTTTTATGTGAAATATATATTTCCTTATATTTTTGATGAGGAAGGATCCGTTTACAAATTTTTTTAATTTTTTTTACAAATTACACTATGTTCTCTCGGGAGAACGTAGTGTAGTTTGTAAAAATTTGTAAACGAAAAAGTTTGTAAATATAACCTGCTAAATTTTTTATACCTTATATATTTCTGTTTATTTTAACAATTTTTTTTTTTTGGGTATTTTCATTTAGTGAATGAAAGACTAATCTCTCAAATTATTGTTGAGGATGAAAACTCCTTCCAACTAGGAATGTAAATGGGCTAGGCCGGCCTACAGGGGCTTACGGCCTAGCCTATATTAGGCCAGACTTGGCCTATTATAAGTAGTAAAATAGAATAGGCTTAGGCTTTTAAAAAAATTTATTTAGAAAATAGGCCATATGCTTTTTTGTACGAGCCTATAAGCTTACATGCCGGCCTATATCATATTATTTATTTAAAATATAATAAATAAAATTATTATTTAATAATTTTGAATAATAAAATAATATTATTTTAGTTATTTATTTAATTGTTGAATGTTTAATAGGCTTAAACAGGCCCAGGCCAATATTTTTTTTTTTTTGAATATATGTCATGCCAGACTTGTAATTTGGAGCCTACATAGGCTAATAGGCCAGGTCATACCCAATATTTTTTACACAGACTTGACCTATTTAAGTCAAAGCCCAGCCCATTTACACCCCTACTTTCAACAATTTTTTTTGGTATACAGAAATAAAATAAAAAATTAAAATACGGAACGACATCCCACTTGTATAAATTAAAAAAAAATAAAAGATATACAAGTTACTTTGAGTAATTACAAGAAAATTTTAAGTGGTTCGATCATCCTACTAAGCAAAAAACGAAACTTAGGGGCTAGGGCTTCATTTGAAGTGTGAGAGGGGTAAGAAGTAAGAACTAGACTAGCACTTTCACATATCCGATAGAAGCTACTAGAAGCCCTTACTGTCAAGAAAAGTCTAGACCCTGTCTCGCAAGTCGCTACTGTTAACATAAAAGCCTCGGAAAACACTACGCCGCGCTGCCTCAGAAAATGGACGCGGAGAAGCTGAATCAATTGAAGCATTTCATCGAACAGTGCAAGTCCAACCCTTCCCTACTCGCCGATCCTTCCCTTTCATTCTTCCGCGATTACCTCGAAAGGTAAATTCAACCAAATCTATAGTCATTTTTGTGTTTAAATCACAGTTCCATTTACTTACCAATCCTGTCTATGATTCCTTCCAGTCTCGGCGCCAAGCTTCCCCAATCTACTGATTTCAAATCGGTACTCTATTGCTTTATAAATCCTTTTTATTTCTTTTTTATTTTTGCGTATTGTGTATGTAATATATGCTGCGTGTGTGTTGTGTACGAAAGAGAGATGTGGAGAGCGATGAGGACATAGAGGATGTTGGGGACGAACAAGAGAAGATGGAGGAAGCAGAGGAAGATGAGATAATCGAATCCGATGTTGAGCTCGAGGGTGAAACTGTCGAGCCTGACGATGATCCTCCTCAGAAGGTTTTTTATTTTTTATTTTTTTATATATTTTTTTAAATTCCAGTTAATCTATGTTGCATTTGGGCTTTTCCTTAATAATTTATGCAACGTTTCAGATGGGAGATCCCTCCGTCGAGGTCACTGAAGAGAGTCGCGACGCTTCGCAGTTGGCCAAAGTTAAAGCCATGGAAGCGATTTCTGAAGGTAATATTCTTTGTAAAGTGAATAATGCTTATGCATGTGTGTAATTTTTTTTATTTTTCATTTCTAATGCCAGACTTATCTTCTTTTGTTATTCATCGTGTTAAAATCAATGCCAAACACACGGAGTTGGATGCTTTACTTCGTTATTTTTAATTCATGTGAACCTCCTATAGCTTAATAATCACTACCTTTTCTCAAAGTGTTTAGGTAATTCTATCTCTGGTGATAATAACCAATACACAAAGATCATGTATTGTGCACTTCCACATAGTGCAAGTGTTCTTCCCATTAAAGAGCAGCATTTCAAATTTTTCATTGCACCAGCCATAGTGTGGAGAAATAATCTTCCCCAGCTTAGAATGTTGCGCCCTTGATGACATGGCAGGTGGCAATTGTGTCATCGGATGATGTTTTACTCCTTCCGTCTTGCGGAGACCGCTCTCTTCCCTCAATTAAACCAGACACTGGTATCACTTGTTGGGAAGTGGATGGACGCGGATCCACAATAAACATGCAAGGAGGAGGAAATAAAAACACGATAAAAAAGGCAATTTAATGTGGTTTGGCCTGACTCATCTATGTCCACGATCTTTAGAATTGATTCTCCACGAACAAAATATGCTACATCTTTTGAACAGACTAAGTTGCAAACTCTCTCACTAAATTCACTATCAAATGTTCCAATTTCAAACAACTATCGACTGCTTTGGCAACTCTCTCTAGTGATATTCTGTTCCAATGCACAAAGATATTTATATGAGAAAACCATCTCACACTTGGGGTTTATTACATAAAACTGGAACTGTGATTTGAAATCTTGTGATTTTGTAATGCAGGTAAGTTGGAGGAAGCTATCGAAAACTTGACAGAGGCAATTTCTCTCAATCCTACCTCTGCCATAATGTATGCGACCAGAGGTGAGACTTGATATGATTGTTTGCTTTTTACATTCTCTAGTTATTTGTTCTTATCACCCGGGATAATCATTCTTGTATAATTTTTTAAATCATTTACAGCCAGTGTTTACATCAAAATGAAGAAACCCAATGCTGCGATCCGTGATGCAAATGCTGCTTTGGAGGTTATATTCTCCCCTCTCTGTCGCCTGAATTGAAAAACTGAGTTATATCCTTGCATGACTTTAAATCGGTCAATGAATGTGGTGTACATGTTTAATGTTTTTGTTACTTTATGATCTAAAAAGACAAGGCTTCTTAAAAGTAAGCTTGCAAGGATATATCTACTCATAAATTATTTAGTGGGTTAAGATCTTGATGCATGTTAGATTAAATGGTATATACATGCTCATTTTAGAGACAAAATTCATTTTACAGGAGCTTTTTCTACTCTTAAATGCATGCTTTTAGAAAATTGCTTCTAAATATGCTTTTTCCTATTACTTTAGGTAGACACTGCTATAAAGGTTAAATCTTCCCCCTCTTCTAAAATTCATAGCACCCCTGCTTCTGATTATGACAACTGGGTGGAGAGAGATTATAGATCTATACTAGTTTAATGAGATTTACTAGTTCTTTGACGGTCATATGCTCAATCCATGCTGTTATATTGCATCTGATCCGCATGCAAGTATATTTAGATTCTTTTTAAATTTGCTTTTTACAGATTAATCCTGATTCTGCTAAAGGATACAAGTCACGGGGCATGGCACGAGCAATGCTTGGTCAGTGGGAAGAGGCTGCAAAGGATCTTCATGTGGCTTCAACGTTAGACTATGATGAGGAAATAAATGCTGTACTTAAGAAGGTTTGTTTTCTTGCCCCTTGGTATCATTTGATGGAGATATTTGCGAAGCTATTGTGGATTGCAGCAATACATCATCAACATGAACAATATCTTTATCTCCAATCAGTTGGAGTTGGCAGCTGATGAACGGCAAGAAAAGATTGAGAGAGAAGAATAAAAAAATTAAAAAAATAAAGAAATGAAAATGCTTAATTGATTTTGACCAAAATCACCTTACCTGTAAAAATACGGACACAATTAAGACTTGATTTGATTGTGTGCATCCCTAAAATTGAAAAGTAACATGGTAGGGATATTTAAAATGTTTGTATGTGTGAAGAGATGTATTTGAATATGGAAATTGAAGCATTGATATCATATGAAGCAAGAAAATGTCTTTGTAGACAATTTTGCCAGAAAATTGAATGCCAACACAGTATGCTTTGTCATGGATGTTAACCGAAGTTATGAAAAATAAGGGAAAAGACTATGAACACTATAATAGCCTGAAAAGGAAAAGATGCTTAATAAAAGGGATAATGTTGAAGTATTGCTGGGGTAACAAGATCAGTTTAAAGAAAGAGATATGGGCTTAATGATAAGATTAACTTATTGATTTACATATACCTTATTTTTGAGAAGATAGACTGAGATTTTGCACGGGGAAGGTGAAGAAGGCACAGAGTAACTTTCTCCTTTTTAGTTGGAAAATCTGTATGTTTGCCCACCCAAGCCTAGTTGTATTGTTCCCACTTTCTATAATCACAAATACTGAAAACAAATGCAATTGAAAGGTTGCCTATGTAAGTGCTCCATAGGGTGTGTTTATTGATTCTTCTTTGGTTATTAGTTTACAATCTTCTTTTACAGTAGCATTTTAGGAATTGTGTGTGTATAAAGCTAATTACTCTCAGGAGTCTCAGCTTTGTCTAGCTAATAATTGAGTTAAAGCTCTAATTGTGGGCCATTATTAACAGTCCAATCTGTATAAAAATTGTTCAGAGCATGATTTGAATACCTTGAAATGCGTCCATTTGTTTATGATGTGCTGACATATCTCTCTTACCACAAAAATAAAAGGGAAATAAGTTGTTTTTAATGGTTGGATTTATTTAGCATCTCATTGCAAATTCTGGATTGTCTAGGTGGAACCAAATGCTCACAAGATTGAGGAACACCGTCGGAAGTATGAAAGGCTGTACAAGGAAAGAGAGGAGAAAAAAGCTCAGCGTGAGAGGGAACGTCGCCGTGCTGAAGCTCAGGTTCTCAATTTTGATGATGAAATGTTATACCAATGTAATTTAGTTGCTAACTTGCTATGTGTATTTTTTTAGGCTGCATATGAGAAGGCTAAGAAACAAGAGCAATCATCTTCCAGCAGAAATCCTGGAGGCATGCCCGGTGGTTTTCCCGGTGGCATGCCCGGTGGTTTTCCTGGTGGCATGCCAGGTGGGTTTCCTGGGGCCATGCCAGGTGGGTTTCCTGGTGGTATGCCAGGAGGCTTTCCTGGGGCCATGCCAGGAGGTGGGGCCATGCCAGGAGGTGTGCCTGGAAATGTTGATTTCAGCAAAATCTTGAATGTAAGTAGATCTTGAGTTTGGATGTTTTCATGTGCTTCTGAAGTGCCAAAGAATCTCTTTCTCTCTCTCTCTCTTTTTCACACACACACACACTATGTTTAATCTACTATTAATATTCAAATGTTCCTTGAAACATCTCTCAGGACCCTGATCTGTTGACGGCATTTAGTGATCCAGAGGTCATGGCTGCTCTTCAAGATGGTAATTATCAATTCTGATATTTTGTCTTTCTTTTTTTCTAGTTAATTTGTATTTTCTCACATTTGAATGTGTCGGAGTATGAATTTTCATAAGCTGCTGACTTAATTGAAACTGCATTGTCATATGCTGTTATCTTTGCCCAGTTAACTTTGGATTTAACCTCTCCTTAACTATTTCATGGATTGGATGGGGAATTCCAATTATCCAGAGGAGTATAGATGATAAGAATGAGAAAGATATAAGTTTTTCCATCCTTTGCATTTTAATTCATAACTATGAAATTTGATAGTGTTAGTGAGTCTTTTCAACATTCACTAGTCTACCCAGCCCAGGCATAAAGGTCCATATAGAATTTGATGGCCTGGTTTACATTGTTTCCAAGAGTTATTTTGTGTAGCTTGATGAAACTCTTGACTTGCTTCACATGGCAAACTGTTCATAGAGATAATAAGATTCACTGATAGGATCTGTTTTTAGATTTTTCATAACATTCATAAAATTGGATATAAGTAACATTTTAAAAACATCAAATTTATCCAATGGGTGTAGCTCAGTTGGCAACGCAGGCTGTGTAGAGTGGGGAAAGAATTTGAATTCGATTCCCATCAAATACATTTTTGGGGAGGGTTGAAGAGTTTTAACTATGATTAAGTCCCGATTTGGGATTAGTTCCATAGCCGGCTCAAAGAGTTGAAACTTGTGGAGATAATTGGAGGCAGACTCGCCTTAAAGAGATAATTAGGGTCGGTATACCAAAAATATAAAATGAAATAAAATTTAACTTCCCGTGACTGAAGAATCTTTTGTTTTAAGATTTGGATATTAGTAAAATTCAGGAAAAATCAAGATCAATTGGAGGATGGTTATTGTCCCTGCTTCGCTAAACATGTTTCTACATGTTTGCATTTTTACTTTTTTTTTCTTCTTTTATAGTTGATTCCTCAGATAATATTTAATTGCAATTTTTTCCTTTTTCCTTATTGGGTTGGGTGCAGTTATGAAGAACCCTGCTAATTTGGCTAAACATCAGGGAAACCCTAAGGTGGCTCCTGTAATTGCGAAAATGATGAGCAAATTTGGAGGTCCCAAGTAAACACTTGTAAATGTTTATTTGAAATATCAGCATTCCAAGCCTCTGCCCTGGAGTATCTAATGTTATTGCATTTTTCATTTTAAAGAAATTATTAAACTTTTTACCTTTTGTAAGGCTTGTTTCTTAGGTGCTTATAGCTCGTATTGGTAGCCATGTTTATTTGTCAACGATGTGATGTTCATCTGAGTGAATTTGAATGATAAAAGTTGATAACAAAAAAAAGGAAGTTTCTTTGTCTTGGTCACATTAAAGCGATTGCTGTAAAATTATTGCTTTTTGCCCGGAGGGCAGATGAGAGGGCATTAATTTTGTTTCCGCCCGGGGAGAATGAGGTATGTTTTATGCTGGGGACGTACTTTCTTACCAGCTCCACATCTTTAAATCATGCTTAAGATTCAATAAAAGAAAAAAAAAATTCTTTAAATCATGCTCTAAGATTCCTTTAAGAGAGTGATCTTCATTACTTGGGAAGTTACATATACCATGATATTTGTAAGATGTATCAGGTGCAGTGCAGAGAACGGTTATTTCCGAAATAACTAGCAGCAGTCAACAACTGTTGTAATGATAATCCATTATCTGTCAACTATCAGCGAAGTAATAGATCAGTTTACTTGTGTAGGTCATGTGTGGTGTAAATACACCCTCCAAGCTGGACGGTGATAGTTGTCTTCCATGTCCAGCTTGGGACCGAACCCATTGAAGAAATAAGGTTGTAGGGAAGAAGATGCGTCAGGTCAGCAGGACCTCAGAAAATGAGCGGCATGCTGCTCATTTGAACGCCATGCAATGCGGGAACGACCAAGGAAGCAGCGGTACCTTGTATTGGGGTCTCGGGATGCATAGCTACCCTAGTTAGCATCACTAAATCCCAAGAGAACTCTTTAAAGGCCGTTTGGTGAAACGTGAATTTTTTTTTATCAAAAAATCATGATTTTTGAAAATATGATGAGAAAATGAGTTTTTTGAAAATGTTATTAAAAAATTGTTTGGTAGAGCAAAATATTTCTAAAAATGTTGGGTTAATTTTTTTGGTGGTATATTTGGTTGATTTTAAAATATTGATGAGATAGTGAAATAATTTTACAAAAATAATTTCACCTTCGTCGGTTTATCCAGACACCCCAACCATTAGGATCCCACATTCAGGTCATCATTTTCCTCTTCACGGGCTGTCCATCTTCCTCCACCACCATCGAACCATAAGCAACCGACAGAAGTGGTGTTTGCAAAAGCAAAATACCCTCTCCTTATTCTGAAATTCCCAGTTCATTTGTTCCTCTTGCTCATCGTCGCAGTACCCTCCCAAGTAATTTCTCAACCCACAGGCACCAAACAAACAATCCTACTCGCCCTCAAACGCCAACTTGGGGACCCACCAACACTCCCATTATGGAAGAAGGGGTATATATAGAGAGAGAGAGAGAGGAGAGGTTGAAGAAGAAGGGGCAGAGAGAGAGGAGAGACATTTTGGTCTGAAAATATTTGAGAGATTTTCTCATTATGTGGTATTTTGACTTAAAAAATACACAAAATGAAATTTCGGAAAAATCAATTTTCTGGGAAAATTTTCCAATATTGGCTACTAAATATGGACTTGTTAGAATCCCATCCCCACCTGGGCTTTCAAAAAATAATCCCCTTATGAAACATCCTCTTTGTGTAAGACATGCATAGCAGCGCGATGGTGAATCATGGTTGGGTCAGATTGACCATGCTGTTGAGTGGTAAAGGTAATAATGTCACGGTGAGCAGTAGTAAGGTACATTACCATTGTCTTTATGCAGGTGAAGAGCTGGATCAAGAGGCACGGAAGTTGGTTCACGCTTCACAACCCAAGAAACCAGAATCTAAATGAATCCAAGCTATGCGCATTGGCATAAAAAGAACATACGAGCTGAATGTCCCACTTGAAGGCCCAGGAAATATTTGAGAAATACCAAGGTCTTTTAGTGTTATACGAGGAGTGAAGTAACCACTTTGATGGAGGTGAATACAACCCAGGAATTTCCTGCAAGAATAATGTCATCTATATAAATAAGTAATGCATGCAGTGAAGGTTGTGCCAGTGACCATGGTGAACAGGGAAATGGTTTGTGTAAGCTTGGGGTGTAACAATATATGAGGAGCAACAAAGAGTTTCTACTATCACGTCCTGCTAGCTTGCTTGAGTCCATAGTGACTGGAGCAATATACAGAGTTGATTAGGCTTAAAACATACCACGCCAGGGGGCACTATCATGTTTGCGTCTTAATGGAGGTCCCTATGCTGAAACGTGTTGTTGAGTCTAACTAATGGAGAAACCAATTGTGAATGGAGGGCCGAGCAAGAATTAAGCAAGCTGTGGTGAGATTAGTATAGGGACTGGGAGAGAAGGACCAAGTAATTCTAGCCGTTGCTTACAAGCTGGGCTTTGTATCCATCAGCACACCACTTTATCTTGTAAATTCATTTATTCCTAATTGGCCCGACTTTATTGGGTAAATCCAGCAAACTTACATTCCATTTGACTCAAGAGCTGTGATCTCAGCTTTCGTAACTTCGTGCCAACATTCAGATCTACTAGCTTCGGTGTAGAAAGCAAGTTCAGTTGTAGAAGAAAGGAATAAGGCAAAACCACAACGAGAAGAAGAGAGATTAAAATAACTAAGAAAAGATGAGATGCAAGACACTTGAAGAAGAGTCTCGCAAGTGGGTAGCTCAGTCAAAATGGGTGAGCCCGTTTAGGCAAAAAAAAAAAAAAACTTGCAAAGCTCCATCGGCTAGGCCCGCTAGGGCTATTAAAGTTACAATTTAAAAAAATTCATCTTTTATTGGATTTAATGCGTTTGAAATTATTTTAGTAAATAAACTTATAATACTTTTTTAAAATATTTTACACAAAATATTTATTTTTCATAATTTATTTTTTTAATGAAATGATATTTGCACATAAATATATAATTAAAATGTAAGTAATATTTTAATTATTTTCCTAATAGTCCTTGAATAATTGGCTGTATATTAAAAACATTGAAGTTCTCACTTTTTATTATGTGCTGGAAAAATAATATTTATTTTTAAGTAATATTTACAATGAAGATTTTTATTATTTAGCCATACTTTCAATACAGTTGATTCATCCAATCTAATTAACTAAAATTATCCAAATGGGAACGATGGCGATGAATATATATATATATATATATATATATATATATATATATATATATATATATATATAGGGGAGGGATCATTTGACTCCAGAGTAAGATTTAAAATTCTTACTCCTCATCCTAACCCTTGATTTCCGTTCATCCAACGGTTAACATTTAATAAGTTACAACAATTAATTAATTATTAATTTTAAATAAATGCTAACCGTTGGATGAACGGAAATCAAGGGTTAGGATGAGGAGTAAGATTTTTAAATCTTACTCTGGAGTCAAATGATCTCTCCCCATATATATATATATATATATATATATATATATATATATATATATATATATATATAGGGGTAGGATTCTTTGACACTAGTGTTAAATTTAAATTTGACACCTCATCTGAGAGCCGTTGTATCAAAAAAGATCAGTGGTGTCATATGCTTACAAATTAGAATCGTTGATCTATTTTTATTTAACGACTCTCAGATGAGATGTCAAACTTTAAATTTGACACTCAAAGGATCCTATCTCACACACACACACACATATATATGGGCAGGATATTCTTACAATGATGTAAGAGTTAGAAGTCTTAGACTCAATCTTGATCATTGATCCACTTGTGTCAAATGGCTCACATTACTAAAAAATTAGAGCCTTTAGATATAAGTGAGATCAATGGATAAGATTGAGAGTGTAACTTACACTTATATAAAATGATCCTGACCCATATATATATATATATATATATATATATATATATATATATATATATGGGTCATGATCATTTTATATAAGTATAAGTTACATTCTTAATTTTGATTGTTGATTGTTGCGATCATGGCAAGTATACCGGTCGTACAATTAATAAAGTGATAAAGTAGGATTATCGCTCTCACGAGAATTGATGTATCAAGCACTAACTTATCTACGCGATCAAAATTGTATCGGTCTTAAGGATTTTTGAGAATAATGATTCAAATTATAAAACAGAATTTTAAACTAACAATAACAATAATCAAGACCAAGAATCAAGAACGGTTAGAAATCAAAATGCAAGCGTAGCTAGGGTGTTGATTTTGCAATGTCTTCCTAAGGAATCTTCCATTTCCTGTAACTAATGTTCAATTCATGTTATTGATAATTTTTTAAAGATTGATTAAAGAGAAAATACCCTTTTGGGTCCCTAATAAAAAACACGGTCCCCACTTTAGTCCCTTACAAAAATAAATTAGTCAGTTAGTCCCTAACAAATTCAAAGTGGACCCATTTTAGTCCTTTTGAGGGACTAATATGGGTTTTTTTTGAATTTGTGAGGGACCACGATTTTAACTAAATGTGTTCACTTTGAATTTGTTAGGGACTAACTGACTAATTTATTTTTGTAAGGGACTAAGATGGGGACCGTGTTTTTTGTTATGGACCAAAAAAGATATTTACTCTTGATTAAACCTCAATCCCCTGGTGATTCAATCATTTACACTATTAAAAACATAATCTCATAGTGATCTCTCTTAAGGCAAGCATTACGAACAAGAATTCAAGGTCATAGATTTCACAAGTTTATCCCTAGATCAAGCAAAACCTAGCAATTAACCATCAGAATCATACACCAACATCCATATTGTCATGCAAGATTTATGTGTTCATCTATAAGTGATCAATTTATTAACAAAGCTAGGAATGAAAAATAGATTAATTACATAACATAAAATTGAATATCAAATTACAGGAAAGGAGTAAATAACACTAGAATCCATTGGTTTCATCTAACCCTAACTACAATAAGAAACCTAGCCTGACATAGCCAAGGAAAGTAAAAAAAAAAAAAAAACAGATAAGAAACTAATGAAAAACATAAAAAAAACTCAAAAATTAGTCTCCACGGTGAAGCTTTAACCGTTCTTCTACCTGCTCAGGTGTAGAACAGAGCTCCTCTACCTCCCCTCTCTTCTTTATCGTCGAAGAATGATCTCTAAAACCCTAATTCCTACCCTTTTTAACAATAAGACCCATGGGCCTTTGTTTACGACGTTGCTCGCTAAGTTGCTCACTGAAGCAAGGATTTGTGATTGCTCGCTGAAGTGAGC